TAATTGAAAATTTACTTCATTTCAAATTATATTAGGCAAGCAGTAAATTAGATTAGATGGAATTATTTAAGCAAGAGTGAAAATGCGAAAAATTAGTTTATATTTTAACACATATCTCACTAAGATATACAGTAAGTAACATTAAGGCATTAAATAATTTGAAAAAATATTGAGTCTAAAGAGGATTTATTTACATTCATTTTGCATGTATATGCTAACATTGTTGCAAGCTGAACAATAAAAGATCGATTCATACATGAAGAAATTCGAGTGGCCATTGCCAGATGGCAAAGACCAAATTGATGTACACATGCAATTACATTGGATGATTACATTTGATGATAATTGTCATAAGGCCACGTATCGCGACAACAGAACGACAACTAGAACAATGGTATCAAACACTTTAACTGAAAGAGTCGGAAAGTTGTTGAAATACGAGACCTTCTTGTCCTCCTCGTCTACTTTGATAGCTCTTATGCATTAGGTTCAACATGATATGTGTGATATGTGTGATATGTACAATATAAACTCGTACGAGCATGAAGTACTTTGCTACGTTGTGATACTTTCCTCAATTAAATTATTTTACTTCTCTTGCTATATTCTTCCAATGGATCACAGTTTTCGTCTCATATCTAAGAATTTAAGCAAGAATTTTTTATTAATTTTTTTTGTTTAATTTTTTTAATCCTTTTTTATATCAATTATAAATTATATCATGATTAAACTGACATACACATGTCATTATTATTTGCATTAGCTGTATAATAGAAGTTAATTAATAAATTATTTAAATTGCTACATGTTTACGGCCATACAACATTTATATCAATAAATTATTTCGGCTTGTGCCGCAAATAAAATACAAACGAAACGTAATAAAAAATCTGACAATAAACAAATGCACTAACCAATGATGAAATCATTATCTAGACAGAAAGAGATAGAAAGAGAAAAGGAATGGAGGGGAAAATAAAAAAATTATTATCATGTTGTGCCTTGGAGAACATTTTTCCAAATTATTTTTTTTATTTCGCATTTATAGCCGTTTGAGTGGCCGACTAGGTTAAGGATCTTGACTAACCACTCAATCGTTATGGATTCGAAACTCAAGTGCGGTAGAGATATCAGTAAAGCCGATCGTCTCAGATGCACTAGCATTTTAGTCTTTCAATTTATTTCTCTGCGTAAATTAATTATAACAATAGTAAGTGAACACTGAAAACGTGTGAAACTTGGTTTAAAATCTAGCAAGAATTTTATGATAAATTTCGATTTCGATATATGAAAGCAGAAACATTAGCATCACTACAGGTCATGTGATAAAAACGTAATAGTAAAAGTGATTGCAAGTTGACTGCAACAAAGTGTAGATTGTGCCAATCTTAAGCAATCGCAAATGATAAGAAGGAAAAGGTACTACTAGTCTGCATATACTACGGCAACGGCTGTTTGCCTGTCCTTCCCTATTGCATTCATTTATCCCTTTTATTATATATGTATGTATATGCTAAATAAGAATAGCTTAAGATTAAGTACATACATACATTTTTCTACGTTATTTAATCATATTATTTAGTTTTTTTTTCCCCTCTCTCTCCACATATCTCTCTTAACTTCACTTCATGAAAAGCATTCAAGATTGAGATTTGATCTTACTAACGTAACTAGATCATAGTAAACGAATGTGTAAAGAAAACTCTTAAACCAGATGAACTTAAACAATTAGGAAAATTATATACGGTTGTGATTGGGTCTTGCATACTCCCACCCAAAAAAAAAAAAAAAAAAAAAATTCCATAGTCTATAACAATCGGTCAGCCAGGTTGATTTTTTTTTTTTTTTTTTTTAATATTGACGATATTTACAAGGAGACATTTATAGTGTGTTTACCGAAAAGCGGAGATGTGCTCAGTTTGTCTTGCATTGTGGACCGTCTGGGCCATTATCAGTATCAGTGTTTGTGCAAGAACTTCCAACATTTCTGTCCATTCCTTAACTTTTACCGCCAGGAGAATGTTCGGTAGGGACACTACGCAAACGTATACACGGACAGACAAACAGATACGAAGACAGTTAGAAGTACTTGCTTAGATCGACGGAGAATTTAATGCTAATCTAGAATACATTTACACTTAGGGACCTCTAAAGCTTGCTTCTGAGTGTTACAAATATTTCAACAGTGTGAAGATAGTACTTTTCTTCTCTTGGTAATGATTAAATATAAACATCGCTATATATTATATATAATATATTTGCTGATTTCTCAAAAAAACCGGGAAAACGACCATGCATCTTAGAAGCAATTCTATGATGCCTGCAGTCTTCACAAAGATTACCAGTGTATGGACATATGTAAATGTCTTAAGATAGCATTTCTGCATCAGAAGACTATTTTCCATATTTTCGAGAATGACAGTTGTTGCAATCTTTTTCTCAACTTTTTTATTAAATAAGGGTACATCGTTTATAAAAAAAGGGCGTGTTATGTACATTTTTTTTATTTTTTCCATGACCCTCAATGTATGAGGCAAGAATATTTGTGAATTTATAAAATGACGGTAATGCATAAAACTTTGCTCATACATATCGGACTTAAGCGTACAAATCGGATTTATGCTATCGATAATATTGTTATCATTAATTTATATATATATATATATATTTGCCAGGACTCTTTAAGAGACTAGTGTTTAAGATGCCGGACGCTCATTCGAAACGGCCAGGTTGGATTCTTGAGAGTCATGAGGATTAAAAATCACATGCGCACCGATCAAGCTTCATTTCCATATATATATATATATATATATATTACTTCAATATGATAGGTCTTATTCTCCGGCCGCATACATTTTAATAATATATTTCAGTTTAGTACTTCTTTGGGCCGCATGTTTTCAAAAGATTTCCTTGCAAAATTAATTTTGTTTAAGTAAATCTTCATTTCATATCTATCTTGTCGAAAAACGAATTGCGTAAGAAATCGACTTTAAAGATTCGTGGATATTGCATAGCGAGACTATAAATGTAGGGCAGAAACCGTAACGAGCGTGACTATATATTTTAAATCTGTCTTATGCATGTCGGTCTACCCGCTAATATGACTTTTTGGTTTCTTGCCAAACTTCAAGAAGTTGCAAGAACTTGAAACACAACTCGGATAGTCAGCGCACAGATGTTTAACGATAAAAAAAACATTCATGAAAAGGCAAGCATTTACAAACAATCTTACAATAGCGTAGAGATAGGAATAGTTCCGAAGACAAACTGAAGGTGTAATGAATAACTAATGGTGATCCTAATTACCTGAAATTCAAAGTATTTTTATAATTATTTTTTATACTCTGCAAAGAAATATTAAATTCTTTCGCACGTATGCAACATCTAGAAAAACTCGATGTAGTCCTATCTCGTTTATAAACGATCTAAGTTTCATTTGTCCGTCTGTACATTTTGTCTGACTGTTTGCAATTAATGCGAAAAATTACAGAATGCGGTGACTAGCTGTACGCAATATTTCAAATTATAGATTGCGTACAAATTAATTAAATATTAAATATAAAAATATTAAATAAATTAATTTAATTATATACATATATAGTGAAAAGAAAAAAACAATACAAAGAAATTCCAATACCTAGGGTATTGGACGTGAATGATTTTTTCCATCTTTGTACACGCACTGTAAAATCACCCATAGAATATATGGGAAAATTTGCATTGTTGTTCTTGCGAATAATAAATAAAGGTTCACGAATTTTTTTTTTTTTTTTTTTTTTTTTGTATTGAAAGAGACTTATCTGGCATTACTCATCACCCTTATGGTTCTCAATGACTTTCCAAATCGATCAAAGCGTGTATGTCCGTCGGTCCATCCGCCTGTTGTGTTTTCTTATGCTCACCCTAAAGGACGCAATGTCTGAAATATTTGGATGAAGTTCGGTGCATCAAAGTATTTTGACTTAAAGACGAACGCTCTTGAAAATGGTTCGGCTTGGATCACCGTTTCGATCACTTCCCATATAAGGTCTCAGTACTATAGGGTGGCGTAGTGTATTTAATGGCAGGCAGGGGGCCGCTATAAGGTTTTCAGCTGATTCAAAATGTCCTTTTATTTTTTTTGTGCAAAACTATAAATAAGTACCAGAGGGGTCAGGGTGATTTTGTTTTTTGTTAATACCAGTCTTGGGCCACTTTCAAAATACATGGGTTGTAAAGTAATTTCTTACTTGTTCACATTCTCGTTTCATTAAATTGATATGAGAATTTTCGAAAAAAAATGTAAATCAAGTTTGTTCACAAACCTAATCATAGACATGAAATTGAAGCCCATTCGAAATGAATGCGAATACAGTTTTATACGTGAACTTATATATGCCTCGATCGTTTATTTTATTCTTTTTTCTTTTTTTTTTTTTTTTTTTTTTTAAAAAAAAAAAATATTTATTTTTTTTTTTTTTTTTAGTTTTTTTCATCATATTTTTGACACTTAGCCAGCCCCTTAAATATGAATATCAATCATAATCAAAAGCACAATTGCACTTGTACAACAAGAACAACAAGAACAACAACAACAACAATAACAACAAGCTATTAATTGTCTGAATTAATTCCATCTGAGATTGTTTGAAAAAAAGCGTGAAATACATTTAATGCCCACTTACAAAAGTACCAACTTTAATATAAAAGTTTTAAGTAAAAGTCCATCAAGACAATGGTGTTTTATGAATTTGCATGAGTGACAGACATGCAAACCCACACAGCGTTAATGTATTATTACTGTTATTATTATTGTTATCATTTTTTTATGAAATTTTTTTTTTCTTTTTTTTTTATGTTTAATTATTTAATTTTTTTTTTTTTTTTTGGTTTCGATAGCAAGCGCTTGTTAATCGTAGTAATTCATATTCGATTTGAATAGCATTTCTTATTAAGTAAATAACAATTTGGTAAATAATTATTTTGAGAGTCATTATGATAATCGTAACTGTGCTTACCGTCTCGCCATCTTGGCACCGTAACAAATAGACGATTACCCCAGTGCTCAACGCCAACGGGCAAACCATTCTGAGGTACATAATCACCATTGGCCATAGCCTGTTCTTTTAAACGTTGATTCGGAAAGGCAAAGTCCAATTGATTCCAGTTATAGCGCTCTTGTAGTTTATACGCGCCATTGCCCAATGAATAACAATAGCAAAATAGCAACGCTAAACTTAACCATACTTTTAAAAATGATACCATTTTTCCCAAAACCGAAATAATTTCTACTTTTTATGCAATTAATGAAAAAACTTAAAATTTTTTCCTCTTTTTTTGTTTTTTTTTTTTTTTTTTTTTTTTGCTTTTTGCTGAATGTCCTTTTGCACGTCCTTTTTCCTTTTTCCTATTTCTGTTTTCTATATTTTCTTCTTCTGTTTTTTTTTTCTTATTTTCTTCAAAGTCGAACGGATTTCTTAAGCGAACGTCAAAGACGCCTAACGCGCAACTGTTTTCGTAGTCACATAAACTTTGATTTATATAAACTTTTATTACTTTTTTTTTGCTACTACCACTAGTACTTTTTCAGTTTGACTGGTTTCATAGATTATCCAAAACTGAACTTATCGGCAAAAAATAATACTGACGAATTTCTTCTGTGTGTTTCGTTGCAATTTTGTTACATCGCCAAGGTGACCATATTTAATGCATTCAGTACCTATACGCTTTATAAACAATTATTGTGTTATTGTGTTATTTCATATCCATTCCACGCTGGAAATGTGTGATTGCGTCTAAATTAAACTTAATTTAACGGCAAATGTACATACGTTCGTTGTTTAATAAGCGCAAAATAGTACGCAGCCGCGTATACTTTTGACTATACTTTGTAAATATATTTCGTATGTTGCGTACCGTGAGATGGGTTCTCGATTTTTACCTAATTACCTCAATCATTATGAAATCAATATTATAAAAATAGATAAATAATATATGTAATCCATTCTATCAATATGTCAGTTGAATTTCAATTGTTTGTTGAAAACTTCATACGAAGTCAATACGAAGAACCATTAGAAATAAACATTCCCCTTCACGTCTACCGTAAGCTTTGAACGCCAACTCTTCCATTATCACACAGTTAACATACAAACAAAGAAGATACCCCAAATCCCGTTCTCGGAGAACTAACCGCGTAAACAACTAAACTTATTGATGATAATGGTTGACATTCTCTTTTTGTACACGGTTCTTACAGTGCCGGCCTGCCCCTTGCATATGGAGTAGCGGATGCCATCGGGCAAATCCAAATTGATCATATCCTACGCAAAAGTGCGTCAACATTTACTAACCAGGCTAGAGCTATTCTTCAGGGCAGAGTGCAATCCGTGACCCCGAAACATTGCGAACAAAGTGCGGAGAAAAAATTTAAACTTTTTGGGTAACAGGTCATATTGATCCGAGCACACCTACTGGCCAAATCCGAAGCTTCCGCAATTTTAACCATTGACGACACAATGGAGAAGTTTGACGTGCAATCGACACTAATCGCATGCTAATCCTTCCATCTGTAGATCAAATAAAGATCAAACCATTTGAAAGAATCCACCTTGAGCATATCATTGCAACATATTAATGGATCCTTATGAAATCTACTCATCCGTTCTTCGATTATGGACATAATCGTATGGCTAAATCTACACTTTGTGAATGTCGAAACTTTTCTCATATTCGAAGATTGGTTTTCGAAACATATAGTTGTATGGGCATCTTCAAAAAAACCTGGGGAACTTAATATCAATAAACTATTTGACTCTATTAAAGCTGTTAAGCCATGTAATCTAATCCACCTCAAAAACGAACAGAAAAGTCGATGATCTTAGTGCTCATCATGAATGCCTCATCGTAGTACCCTTGAATTTTATTATTTGCCCTAAATAAATTGTAATAATAAAAACAAATAAAATGTTGTGAAATTCCATCAAGCGAAGATTAATTTATCTTATCTGTTGAACTACATTTTATGCAGAATCCGAGCGAATAAACAAACGACGCACTTCAATATTAGCATTCATGAGCATAGGAAGCAGTTTTTTCTCTTCCCTTTTTTATCCATAATAGAAATCGAATCGACGATGAGGCTTCACTTGTACTTGTCTAATAGGAGTCTTATATAAATTGCATGTCAATAATTTGTTTTGCGCCTTTGTTAGCGTATCCAAGTTTCTCTATGAACTTGCAAAACTGTTTTTTTTTTAAATTTTTCACGCCATCAACACATAACTGAACACTTGGCTTTGATCAGGCACGAGAAAACGTTGGCGGACGTCAATTTACTCGCACATAACAATGCTGCAAAAGGATTGTCTTTGCCTTCGCTACCGATTCAGTTGTTTTTTTTTTTTTTTTTTTTTTCTTCTCATTAAGCCACTAAAGAGCGATTTCAAAAGAAAGGAAGTTGAAGCAAAATGGTGCATTTTTAACGATATTTGGGCCTTATGCTAGTCTCCGCCGTGATATGAAAATAATAATTGGCCTATCGATGAAAAAAGTTGCATACACTTGGCTTTGATCCTATTCGCATTAACTTTGGCAAATATATCAGTGATCAAAGCGATCAATATTTGCCTTCCAAATAATCCTTTCATTGGGGATTTTCATCATAGATGTTAAGAAGATTGCTTTAATTTTCAAGCGCGTCCTTGCTATTAGAGGAAGTATTAGTTGCTTGCATGTATTTTGATCATACTTTAAGTTGAAAAAGGCATTTTGAATTGAGAAAAACTGCTATGTAATATTTTCCAGCATTCTCTACAACCTTTTCCGATCTTCCTAGCAACATAGCCAGAATACCGTGCCAAAGTAACGATATTTGTTTGGCAGCTATCCAAACATCGACCCATTTCCGCACTTCATCAGCCAAGGCATCATCTTGCATCGATCTGAACAAGTGGTAATCAAAAAGCGCTATGTATGGTGAGTACATTGGGTGCGGCAAAACTGCCCATTTGAATTATAACATTGCACCCTTGACAACCGTTGCAGCAAGTGGCCAGTTCAATCAGTTCGTGTCACCGCTTTCAAACCATTGAAATGAAAACCGACAATTGGGAAATGATGGAAGAGCATCTATAGCATCTATAGCATAAGCAACCATAAGCTTCTGAAATTATTTGATTGCCTTCAGCAGCGAATTTTTTCAAATCAAACAACAGACAAACGTTCCATGGCTAATGACTGCATACGCTATGGGAAGCTGTTATTTTATAAAGAGAAGGGTCGAAATCATCGAATTTAACGTTGCGTATATTGATCTGTCGCGTTACTTTATCATTTTTACTAATGGATATCACTGATCAAAATATATGCAAGCACCTATTAGAACGATAGTAGAACGAAACAAGTAGAAACATTATATTCGCCTAAAGCTGACCTTTTACCACCTCACTTACTACAAGTCTTTATTTATTTCCGTTATTAAACAACAATAATTTAGTCTTCATGCAACGGAACATGTTTTTATGAGGGAGCGAATCCCAAAAGTTGAACTAACCTGATACAAGATTAGCAAATTTCATTTTTTGCCATAGAGAATTAAAAATGCGATGTCACTGTCATATGAGTCTTTACGTTTCACGAGGGGTGTGGTATAAGAAATAGATCTCTATTGATCGAGATTTGATTACAGTTATTATTACGGGCAAATTTCGATATAAACATTTTCGCATTATGAGGTCTTACTTAGTTTTCGCAGGAGCGATTACGTAAAGGAACGAACAAGAAATGGACAAAATATCTCGTATCAATTAACTGGACCAAAACACAATTACAACTCAGCGAGAAACTAAGAAAAATGTCATTTTATTTTCGCAATAATGGCTTTTGCAAAAAGTACGCATCGTGTGAAGAGTAGACGCGAAAACTTGTCAGTTCTACACAAAAAAATACATGGATAGATAGACAGTCAGCACTACAAGTGGTGCACAGGCTATATGTGAAAAGTTAAAAGAAATTATAATTTCCTTATCCTCAACAAGTGATTTGAATGTGTCGACAGTCTATCGACTTCTTAGTCCATTCACCCAGAGAGCCTGATAAACTTATATTAATTACCGTCAAAAAGTTTGTTTACTTTAAAGGAAAGAAGTCATCACCTACCTGGGCAAGTTTGGGATTGAATGTCAAGAAGTCGGTTTAAATGCTTTATTTCAATTTCAACATCAATGATTATGTAAAGGAAAGCACAAAGCAAGACTATTTGAGCCTTAAAGACGTTGGAAGTATGTGACCAGAAATGAATGGTGAACACTTATCTAAAGCAATGGACTTCTCATGTATTCCTTAAGGTTATTGTTTTCTTTTTTTAATATTTGACTTTTCCTTTTTTTTTTTTTTTTTATAATTCCCCTTTCTAAACATGCTAGACACGCTCCTCATGATGCATGTTAATTACTGTATTGAAGTCATTTCCAAGGCATAGCCTAGATAAGGTTCAAAGTATTGTTAACATTCGCATTTACTCCTTCGTTCATGCTTTCTTAAGCATGACTTTTCTGGCTATTTGAAAATTCAGGTTGCTTATCTACCTCGCCAAAGTCATTCAATCTCGATCACCAAACGTTGTAATAGAACGACTGCACATCTCGCTAGAAATCTTTTCATATTAATACCACGTTTTTGTTCAACTCATCAGTCGAACGACTAACCTAATGAATGCACATTTTGTTACTGATAAAAATTAATGATTATGGAGCAAGATGAGATACATTTGCAACCATTTACCTGACTTGTACTGATATTCATTTATGTTGCAATTACTTTATGCACATGAAATGCATCTTTATAAATAGGTAATAGGCCAATGGCGCTTTAGTTACTCAATAAATGAATAAATGAAATGAAATGAATTTTTTTCCTTCATTTAACCTAATTTCAAAATTAATTGTAAAATAGTTATGTCATAATATGTCATATTTCAAAAAAAAAAAAAAAAAAAAAAACAAAACCTATTAAATATCAAGTTACTACGCCCTAATATACTAAAAAGCAAATATTATATTTACTTATATCAATCAGTGAGAGATCATGCAGTGTTTCTCGGCAGGAAATCATGTTTAACAAGAAATGTAGTTTGATAAAACTTTATGTAATTACTAATTATCTTAAAATTTATTAAACAAGTTGCATATGTACATGTGTAGATGTGATAGCAGGCTATTACTTCATTAAATAACAACTTCCCCTATTAGTTAAATTAAAAACTAGTAACAAGATGCATGCTAATAGTCGAAAGTAAGTAAAAAAAAGGAATTTCCTTCTTAAAATAAGCTGTTAAGC